TGGAAACTACTACAATGAGGGAGAGAGGGTAAATACTGAAGGAGTGGAAGAATGGAGAAAAACTGACATGAGGGCAGAACCCTATCTGGAATGCAGGGCTGCAAGTCCAACAGCCCACTGGGCCAACCAAGGCCTTGGAGGAGGCACAGATGAAGGTCTGGCCTCCACATGACCAGCCTGAGGGTGCTGTTGAGCAGAGTTGGTTGGAACATGGACAGGGGACCTTGGAGAGGTGTGGAGATGTGCTGGGAGGGTCAGAGGAGCACAGGAATGCATTGGAAGAGGGCAGAGAAGTGTGGGAACATGTCAGAAGAGGGCAGAGTAGGTGTTAGGGGCTTATGTCAATGTCATGGTCATGACAGTATCCCCCCCTTAGGGCCTGAACCCCCGAAGGCCATAGCAAAGCTATGATGGAGGTGAGTAAGGTCCAGGTTTGTGAGGATAGTGAGCATGGTGAGCAGCCAATAACTTGGAGGCATGTTCTAACTCTGTTGCCAGCACCCAAGAGGTCTTGTCATCAGTGTTCTCATAGCCCACCCAGCAGGCTAGATACAGTAACTGACAATGGCAGTGGCAGCAATCCACCTTTGAGTTGAGGATCTCCAAAATCTCATACTCAAGGTCACCATCCACCTCAACAGGCAGTGGTGGAGGTTGGTGCCAATCAGGGAATGGGTTCTGAGTAGCAGGTTCTAACTGCAACACATGAAAGACAGGGTGGATGGCCTGCATCACATCAGGTAAGCAGAGGGTGACAGAGTGTGTACCAGGCCCAGCTATGATAGCATAGGGGCCCAAGTTCTTCTCTGCAAGTTTGGCTGAAGGGCAGGTGGAGCAGAAGTACCTGGCCTTGACATAAGCCTGGTCACTGACTTTGAACTCTGGTGGTGGAATGCATCTAGCATCAGCTGGACCTTGATAGTGGAGTTGAGCAGCAGCCATCTCAGTGCAGAGGAAGTTGTGCAGGGCAGAAAGCTCCACAACATAGTTATGGGCCTTTGGAGCAGTGAGATCACAGTCAGAGTAAACTGAAAAGTTTAGGTGGTATCCCTTATTAGCAAAAAAGGGAGAGACTCCAGTAGTAGCACTTGGTGCATTATTACAAGCAAACTACACTAGTGGGAGTAACTCTGACCAATCATCTTGCTGATAGTTGCAGTAGGTGTGGAGGTACTGCTCAAGGGTCTGATTCATGTGCTCTGTTTGGCCATCACCTTCCAGGTGGTAGCCCAATGTAAAATGAAGGTGCATATCTAAGGCCTTTCTGAGGGAGTGGAAGAAGTGTGACATGAATTCTGGACCCCTGTCAGAGGTGACATGAGTGGGTACTCTGTGCTTGGAAAAGATGTGGGTAAGGAAGAGTTTTGCTAGGTCAGCAGAGGTGATGGAGTCACGGGTCAGAATGAACACAGTCTGTTTAGAAAGGTGGTCTACAACAACCAAGATGGCAGAGTAGCCTGAAGAGTTGGGGAGATGCTCAATGATATCCATGGAGATGGAGTTCCATGGCTTCTCAGGGATGGGAAGCTGCTTCAGTAGGCCAAAGGGGCGGTGACATGGGACCTCCCTGTGACCAGAAGTGGTGCAGGACCTGACATAGCTTTTTACATCAGTGGGAGGTTAGGCCATACATACTCATGGCAAACAAGCTCTACAGTGCAGCTCTGCCCAAAGTGACCTGCAAGTGGATGGCCATGTTTAAACTGAAGCACTTGGAGGTGGAGGCCATCAATGTCAGGGACAAAGATGTGGCCATCAAGATGGAGGAGGCCCTCATGTCAGAAAATTATTTGGTCCATTGCAATGACATCAGATTTTTACATGGTGATAATCAGTTCATGATAAGATTGTGAGTGGGAGCATGGAGTTGTAATATGCTGGCAATGCACATTGCAATACCCTTTGCAACAGCATCTGCTACCATCTACTGCTCATTTCCCTTCCCACTCACCTTCCATCCTGTATTTACTGTATCTACTCCTACAGACCACATTCCTATTGTTTACTGACACCATGCCTCCTGAAAAGCAGATTGTTTTGTGCAAATTGTGTGGGAGATCATTCAAGCCAACTGGAATAGGTCCTCATCAGAAATCATGCATCAGGTGCACTCACAAAACCACTGAAGATCTGGCTCACTTCAACTGGCTTTGTCAACAAGGTAGGCAAGAATTTTAGGTGCTGTTCAACCTGTGAATGTGAAGTCCAAGTTTTTGACTTCAGCTTTGGTTAAGAGGTTCACATGATGTGAACTATCACATGCATCCACCTGAGGTATGCAACCATTGTCACCCAGTTACTGCAATCATCGAATGTCTGGCTCATCTGTTCTGCACCATCAAGTTTTTTGTTGTATGTGTCAGCCAGGTCATCGTTGTCATCAGCTGTCACCAGCATCAGTTGTGGAAAAAGGAAAGCCAAGTCTGTTGTGATGTCTGAAGGTGGATCAAAGTGCTCTTGGCCCCTATTGGCCAAAGCATGTGCTGAAGAAGATCACAGTTCATTCATCACTGCCATCACCTCCAGGCTCAATAACTTCATGCACACAATCACTGCCCCATTGCCCCTGCCACCCATTACCAATCCCCTTGTTGACACTGCCATGGACTACATCAACAACATGCCACAGCTCTCGACAGATGATCAGATCAACATTGGTGACTACTTCCTCAGTGCATCTCCAGATGAAGTGAATATTTTCCTCAAGCATCAGGAGCTGGAAAAGCAGATTTGGGTGCAGCATCAGCTGATGAACTACTGGGATGGGCAGAGATAGGTGTTTGTTTTTGTTTTTTTTTTACAATATACAAATGTACCCCCCCCCCCTTTATACAAATATGTACATAATAAAATGTACATGACTATGACTAGCTTCCTTTTGACAATGGAAGTTATTTTTCTACATGAGTGTGAAACAATTGTAAGAACATATATTTGTACACCATGAAATCTGAATGTTCAGGCTCAGAGAAGGCCCCTAATTGTAAGCTGGTGCTGATAGTCAATCCACATCTCCTCTGCAATGTTGTCATGCCTATTATCAGCCCTTCTCCTCTCTGCAGCATCTGCTGGTCCATCACCAAGGCTTCCAATACCATCACCCTCTCCTATGTACATGGCAAATTCAGGGTCAAAGAACTCTTCTGGATCATAGTGCCATATGAAATTGTGGAGGGCACAGAGAGCAGCAGGTACTTGAGTTTGGGTGTGGATGCTATATTCAGGGGGAATTTGAAGAATCCTCCATCTGCATTTTATAACACCAAATATCTGTTCAATGGCATTTCTAAGTCCAGCATGGCAAAGGTTGAATAACTCCTCTCAGTTTTGAGGTCTATAAAATAGAAGTTACAGGTACACTGAGCAGGATGGAATAGCAACTTACCTTAATCCAGCCTGGCACCATTCTTTCAGATGGTAACAAACACCTCAATAGGGAACCAGAAGTGCATCACAGGTCCCAAACCCTGCATCTGCAAGAAGGTACTTCCCAGGTGGCATGTGCAAGTCATTCCTGTGTGCATCATGCCACATGGTTGCATCTGCAGTTGACCCATCAAAGCCAGTGAGGGCATATGTGAAGAAGAAGTCAAAATCACAGATGAAGAGACAGTTTTGAGACAGGTAGCCCTTCTGGTTCCTCATGTAAGGCTGGTCCTCAGCAGCAGTGAATGCTCAAATATGAGTGCCATCAACTGCACCAATACAATCCTGGAAAAATCAGAAGCATGGGTCACTAGTAATCATAGTTGATATGGGAGTGTTGTTGATGGGGAATTGCACTTGGGATGCATAGAATTGTCCCCCAGAAAAAAAAGCCAACATTGCTTTGAAATATCTAAAAAATTGTGAGAAAAATATCAGACAGTCCAACGAACTCCCTACCTAGTGATGGTCCCTGGTGAGTGTTGGAACCTCTCAGCAACATGCTGGGATGACAACCCAGTAACACAGGTGTAGAGGAATATCCCAAGTTGTTCCTCCACAGAAATTCCATTGCAAGAAGGCACAAAACCATGATGGGTGAGCACCTGCATCAGGTGATCAAAAACCCCATGGCTGACACCAAGGCAAGTCTGTATCCTGTCTGGATGACCATTCAGGAGCTCTAGCATCCACCCCTCACCAGTCAGGATTGAGGTATGGTAGGGGATTGGTTCTGAGTCAGAATGAAAAAGGAGGTTGTAGAGGCATAGCACCTGGATCATCACTGCTACTACAAGTGCAGCAAGATGGTGATGATGATAGTGCTGGAGCTGCTGTGCTTCAAGATCCATAGCAGAGTTGTTTGATCTGTTATCACAATGTTATCTATTGAACTACAAGTTGTGTTGTTGTCTTATATAATCATCACATGACTACATTACTGAAGCAGAAGCCCAAAACTTGGACTTCACATTCACATGGGCATGCACAGCTTATATAATCATCACATGACTACATTGCTGAAGTTGAAGTCAATAACTTCAACTTTGACTTTGGAGGGTGAATGGTGCCTTATTGGTTGAGTTTGTCTGATTTATCATGGCAGTCTATTCCTGAGCAGATGTTATTCCTGGCATCACTGACAATGGCTGAGGATCCAACATAGAGGTGAACACAGAACCTGCACCTGGTAAGTATCCTACTGCTCCCTGAAATGCACTCTCATAATTGTTAGCAGAGCCCACTGCATTTTGGCCCATGAATATGGATCTCGAGCCACCAGCCAGCACCATTGGCACAGATGATGAAGTGAATGGTGTGTTGATGTGAGATTTTGTATTATTCATGACTGATTCATTATGCAGTTGCTCAACCTGCCACCAACTCCAACAACAATATCAATGATATCGATATCCAAGTTGAATCCCACCCAAATGCCAGAAAGCCAACTGTGAAGGTGCTGTTCACTGAGTTCAGCTGAGGTCATGTGCCCAAGATATACAAACCTGATCCTTGCACCACTCCCTGGTACCCATTCTGGACTCATCTTGACTTTGACCTTTCAGAATTCATTCATGAGGTCACTCTCAATAGGGAGCAAGCAAATCATATTATCAAGCTTTCAAAAATGTTTTTGCACTGAGGACTGCACTTTGAATAGTTATAAAAATCTTGAGAGCTCTTGGCAGGCTGCTTCCCACCACATGACAGCAGTAAGCATCATTAATTTGTTACCATTGCCAACCCTAATCCCATCCTAGTCCAGTTTCAGAAGAGTGTAATAAGTGCACCATTTGCAGGCAAGATGATGGAGTTTGACATGTATTACCATTTGCTGTGGGATTGGGCCTGCAATCTCTTGAAGGATTCCAATGTGGGACCATACTTTGTATTTGATGCCAAGCATCTAGCTAAGTTTGATGGCTCTTTGTTTGTTCATTTTGTTGACAAGCCATGGACAGCTAATGATGTTTGGAATGTACAAGTATGTCACTAGTCTCTAGCATATACCCTCAATGAATTTTTTTTTCAGAGTGGTCTACCTTCAGATGGCAAAGTTCTGGCATTCATTATGTATGCCAATAAATCCAAGCTATCATCATTTGGTCAACAGAAAGGGTATCTGGTTGGTGCATGGATTGCTAACCTTCCAACTTGGATCCATAATGGTGAAGGTTTAGGTGGTGGCCAAGTAGTCATGTGGTTACTGATTGTCAGTTGTTTCACTGATGGTGTTGAAAATACTGACTGACTTTTGTGTTGTGTTTCTAATAGGTAAAGGAAGACAAAAGGTATTCTGGAAAGAAATTGTTTGCCAACTTCAAGAATCATGTTTGGCATGAATCTTTCAAGAAGATACTGGATATGATCTCGGAGTACTCAAATACCAGCTTCTGGGTAATGTGTTGGGATGGCATTGCACACTGACTCTTTCCTACTGTATTAATTCTTTTGGCTGATTATGAAGAGCAGTAAGTGGCTACATTATCTGAAATCCCCTGAATATGGGCTGACAATCTTACCATTCAGAGCAGTCATGGCACTTATGCATAGTGTCATGTCAAATTACCCTTGTCCTATTTGCCTCATTCCTCATGAGGAGATATCCAAATTCCCCACAGACTGTGAACATCATACCAGTGAGAATGTTTTCAAGACATTACAGGAAGCATGCTTGCAGAACCAAGCAGACCACAAGGAACAGATTCTGGCAAAGCAGGGACTACATGATGTAGATCTAAGTTGCTCATGCTATTACCTTCACTCCCACTCTGATCCCTTCCAGAGTGCTTTCTGGGAGGTCAAGAACATGGACATTTATTGAGTGTTGTGCTGGGACAGACTGCATGCCAACTGTGCAGGAAAATTTGGTGATCATTTGTGGGGAGAACTCATGAGGATTCTTGAGACAATGGGCTGTCAAACGATGGGAAAAGTAGAATGGAAGTGAGTCTATCTTATTGTATGAAACAGTTGTCCTGATAATTTTTTAGTCTTAGCACAGTACTTCGTTGGCATGGCCTCAATCATTTTGAGGAAGCACTTTTGGTTTCATACACAGATGGCCAAAAATTTGAGGATCTATCCAAGGTATTGTAAATATGCTTCCAAGCTCTTATTTCACTGACATCTCCTGAACAGATAATCATATTTGTATGTCATGATATCTTCCTGCATGATATGGAAAAAGATGGTTACAGTGGCTCACATAATTGTCCCAATGTTTGCATGTTTTTCATTAATCATGGTGTAGTGAGTGAACTATCATTATTGAGTCCAAGGTGTTGGTGGATGGATTGAGGCAGCTGGTCATGGCTCTCTGATGAGCCATATTAAATAATATTTGAATAGGAACTGATGAGAGAATACCCAAATGAAAATGAGAGCTCATTGGGACAATTATGTAACTTTGTGATATACTGGGGATGTAGTCCTTGGGAGCACATATAAAACATGGTGAGATGCTCTCCAATGCTTACATAATGTATCACATGGTCTACTGAATGATTTGTCAACAAACAAATGATGCCAAACAGTGATTTTGCACCACTAAGCCTCCTTGCTGTCACACAAGTCAAGAAATCACCATTCTGGCTCATCAGGGACATTCACTCAGGGCAACCTCAGCAAATGCTGGTGTACACTATAGTATAATCAATAGAATATGCTATCAGCACCATAAGTCTCTTCAGAAGCCTGCTGGCAGTCATCTCCTGTACTGTTTCCCCACCAATACCCCATGTGTCCTGGAACTAATCAGTGCTGTGAGAGCTGAGAATGATGTGGAGGTCCAATCTGGCATTACTCCTATCATAAGGAAACCAATTACCCACTAACTACTACATCACAGCTGAAGAAAAGCTTGCTTGAAGGCTCAGGTGAAGCACAACCCTTCTGGGCACTCCCAGTATCATGGGAGGGTTGGCCAGACTGTACTCTGAGTTGAACTGGGGATCACTGGAAGAATTCATTTGGACATATAAGACTAAAGGAAATATCCAGTGTGGATAGAAGGTCAGGAATGTGCAACCTGGTAGCTCAGTAGCATATCTCTCCCATGGTAGCCAGAGTGAGAGAGGGTTTAGCTTCACCCTGACCTCCATACCAGTTTCCCCTTCACAGAAATGCACTAGTTAAATGGTGATTGGTTTGTTCATGATAGGATGAATGCCAGATTGGACCTCCACATCATTCTCAGCTCTCACAGCACTGATTAGTTCCAGGACACATGGGGTATTGGTGGGGAAACAGTACAGGAGATGACTGCCAGCAGGCTTCTGAAGAGACTTATGGTGCTGATAGCATATTCTATTGATTATACTATAGTGTACACCAGCATTTGCTGAGGTTGCCCTGAGTGAATGTCCCTGATGAGCCAGAATGGTGATTTCTTGACTTGTGTGACAGCAAGGAGGCTTAGTGGTGCAAAATCACTGTTTGGCATCATTTGTTTGTTGACAAATCATTCAGTAGACCATGTGATACATTATGTAAGCATTGGAGAGCATCTCACCATGTTTTATATGTGCTCCCAAGGACTACATCCCCAGTATATCACAAAGTTACATAATTGTCCCAATGAGCTCTCATTTTCATTTGGGTATTCTCTCATCAGTTCCTATTCAAATATTATTTAATATGGCTCATCAGAGAGCCATGACCAGCTGCCTCAATCCATCCACCAACACCTTGGACTCAATAATGATAGTTCACTCACTACACCATGATTAATGAAAAACATGCAAACATTGGGACAATTATGTGAGCCACTGTACCTTCTATTGCATTGTTTACATGCTTGCATTGAATTTGATATGTATACTGCACTGGAATTACATACAACACACACACTTGCCACTGGGCAGGAGGTGCTTGTTATCTTTGATTCATTGATGAAGGTCAGGTCCCACTTTTGATGTTTGAGCTTTCCCTAACCTTTTCTGGACTAGAAATATGCAGAGGAAACACAATATACTGGGAAAAATTGGAACTTTCCAAAGAACCACACCTGGATGCATGTGTTCAATGACATCAAAGCTAAGGGTGTCACCCACAATTTCAATACAAAGCCAAATGAGAAAATGCATGGCCCATTGAAGGAAGCATATCAGAAACAAACAAACTTCAAGAATGTTGCTCAGCAAGTAAGTCTTGGATCATTCATCATATCCCAGCATGCTTATGCTTCAGTAGATTCTCCACATCAATCACCTTGGACTTGTTTGCAAACATATCCACTGCAAGATTACAGAATACAATACCTACATGTTGACCACAAAAGCGACACATCTGGGTAACCTTGAAGCTGATGAGCCTGAAGAAGAATTTTTCCACATCAAGTTAGGTAGCAAAATGAAGGAACCATTAACATTTGAGGACATGGGGAGGAAGAGTACTACTGACAATGTGTTCAGCCAGTTCTGGGGAAAGCTCAGTGAGTTCCTCAATAAACACTTTGATATTGCAGGGGAACCTCTTCCTGGTGGGAAGCACATCCAATTCCAAATGAATGAGAAGGTGAGACAAAATGGCCTTCCTTGTTCAGTTCCTAATAATCTCTGCAGATCATGGAATTTTGCTTTGTCAAAGTTAACTTTGAATCCACTGTTGATTGGTGTCAGTACACAGATTATCTACATTGCCACCCTAATTTCCATGGATGCCCCCATTATGACTGTGTGCTCATCAAGACTCAGCAAAAAGACATGTTTGGGCAACTTGTACTTTTGTTCCAGTGCATTGTTGGTGAAGAAGCCTTCCCCTTGGCTTTTAATACAGCCATTTGACACCCCAACTGGGCAATGACTCCACAAGGACAAACACCTCAATTTCTGGAGAGTATGCAAGCAACTATGCATGTCATCTAAAATTATATGAGTCCATTCAATCATTCATGGTGCCCTTCTATATCCAGATCATATGAGACCTGGTGAGTATCTCATTGTTAACACAGTTGACACTGACATGGTCCTTTGTGTGCAAATGATGCACAAAGCTGCAGGACACCTCTGAAATGCTCTATGTACATTGTCTTTCCAAAACTGCCAAGTCTCTCTGCTGATCCTCAATGAATTCAGCATTGACTCCACGTTGGGCCCATGAAACAACAATGTTTCTGCTACTTAACCAGTCTTCTGATGTGACAATACTTAGTTCATAGATCCATACAAGTATGGGGTTACTAGTTGGAAGACCACTTTGGTTCATTTATTACCATACCACTAATAATACCTTAGTGTTTCATCCTCAAACTGCAAAGACATGTGAGTACATGGAGTGGGGACTGATGTACTCAGCAAGTTCATAGTGGCTTTACTGAAAGATGATGATAATGGCAGAACTTGGACCTTGTTAGCAGTTCCCAACCCTGCAGTTCTCAGTACTGTGGATGCCTTCTCCCATCCCAACCACATATCTAGTTCTCCATGCACCCAACACCAGTCAAGGCAGCCACAGGTGGGCAAGCTCTACAATCCTGACGATTGCATACCCATTCCTTGTGCAGCAAATCTGAGGCTATATCTGACACAAGCAGCTCCTACTCCCTCACAATGTTTTGACTTTGCCTCCCCACCATGATCCACCTGCTCATTGACATCTTTTTGTCCACAGAAAGGATGATCCTGTGCATTTCTCTGTCCTCATGAGACTGTCAGTGGCTGGTCCAATTCTCTTCCCTGTTCAGCTCACCTGTTGCCATACCACCACCCCAAGAGCATATACATCCATACTGATGGCCCTGACATTGCTACATTCTACTTCAACCCACTTATCAATTTGATCTCCCTCCATGGTACAATGCCCAGGAATTCTCTATTCCAATACAGAGAGATTTGTCAAGATGTTGGTGAAATGCTATGACTGACTAAGTAACAATTATCATTCTGTCTGTTCTGTGGATATGAGGCTCACTGGTTTCACATGAAGACATGAATTTCAAGCCTATGATGTGGATGATGACTTTGAACCTCCTGAGGAGGTTGAGCCTTTCCTTGCCAAGCACCTGTGTTGTACCAGAAGCTTCTCAAGTGCTTCATTCTCAACAAATTTCCCAGAAGAAGCCAGAGTGAGGAAGAACTTGTTCTATCAGCTCAAGGCAACAAAATTCTTTTAGACAAACAAGACTTGATTGGGTGGAAACAGGCTTGCAAGTCTGCAGGCAAGGTTACAACATGCTTAATTTGATGATCCATCAAAAGGTAATATCTTAACTTGTAGTGTGGAGGCATCTCTGATGATACTGTTTTTCTCCAGTAGAACCTGAATTACTGGTCCCATCAGCAAGGGACCTGGTTGTGGCTTTGGGGCACTTGGATGGCACATCTGGCTCTTTTTCATGTATGGTATCATCCCACTTCTTGAATGCTGGCTAGGTAACCATCTGGCTCATCAATTCAAAAAGTGTAGCTGCAAAGGTATTGCAAATACTGTTGCCAAACAATGTGTGGGGTCATGTCACCATCTCAAGCTTCATGCAGCAGTTATGTATGATATCCTTGACAAGACAGAACATGTTTGACATGGTGCAACTGTCAACAAGGCTGTCAACAAGAACTTGGGACATCTCACATGTGAGTATTGTCTAAACCATCATCATAATATTACTAATGTGTCATTTGTTATTGGTCACTGACCTTGCCTGTCATGGCTAACTTGTACTGTTAAGGCTGTACCCTCCTGTTGGACCAGCCTGACAACAATTCTGCTTGCATTCTTGACAAAAAATCATTCTTCACTGCCAGGGCACTGAACATGGCCATTCCCAGAGGACCAAAGTTTGAGCCTCTTTATTGCAACATGGACTTGTTTGATGAGGACTGGAGTGAGTTCAATGACATTAACAAGATCATCATTTGGCAGCAGATTTGTACTGAGTACAAGGTCACCTTCCCTCATCTCTACAACTCCCTTCCCCATTCAGTTCACCTGTCACCATACCACCACCCCAAGCATGTGTACATCCATACTGACAACCCTGACTTCCCACCTTCTACTTTGACCCACTTGTCAACCCCATTTCTCTCTGTGGTATGATGCCTAAGAATGCACCTCTGGTTTCGCATGAAGATGTGATTTTCAGGCCTAACAATGCAGATGATGATGACTTTGAGTTGCCTGAGGACATTGAGCCTTTCCTTGTGGAGCAGCCACTTGAGAACGATTTAGCTGCTGAGGGCATTGCACTATGGTGGGCACCTGATCCATACAACCACCATTCTGGATGGACAAGGTGCACTCAGGTCATCCCTCTTGTCAAGAATTGGTATCTTGAGCATTGCCCTCTGGGCCAACCTGTCAAAGTTTGTGTGTCATACCAGAAGCTTCTGAAGTGCTTCATACTCAATGAATTGAAGAGCTGCCCAGAAAAAGCTATGACAAGGAAGAATCTATTCCATCAGCTCAGGCAACAAAGTTCTTCCAGATGACAAGACTGGATTGGGTGGAAGCAGGCTTACAAGTCTGTGGGCAAGGCTACAATATGCTTAATCTGTTGATCCATCAAAAGGTAAAATTATCTTGTAGCATGGAAGTGACTCTGATTTCATTTCTGTCCCATAGAATCTGAATTACCTGCACCTTGACTATAACATGAACTTGAAGCCCATCAAGACATTGACAATGCAAGAGCAAGAGAAGTTTTGTTTCAGAAATGCTTTCCATTTCTACTGTGAGATCTTGCATCTTACCAAGCTTGTTGTTGATGTGCATGTCCAGTATCGGCTCAGCAGCATCATTGTGTTCCAGCTTGCTGATGCACTGCAGTATATTTTTGGCCACATCAGTGCATTGACCAGAATGTACTGCTACAAGTACATGGTCAGTCTTTACCTGTTTATATTGCACTCCTTTCTGCTGACATGTGATCTTTCCAGTTGATGAGACATGTTTGCATGATGAAGGGCCTCAAGCACTTAATTTATTAACATTTCAACACTGGTCCCATCAGCAAGGGTCCTGGTAGTGGCTTTGGGGCACTTGGATGGTGCATCTGGCTTTTTTTCATGTGCAGTATTGTCCTACTGCTTGAACACTGGCTGAGTAATCTCCTGGCTCTTCAGTTTGAGGGGCATAAATAGCAAGGGTATCACAAAAACTGTCACCAAGCAATGTGTTGAATCACATTACAATCTTGAACTGCATGCAGGCATCATGCACAATATCCTTGATGTGATGCCCAAGTCAATCAAGCAAAATCCAGGAATGCTGACTGCCATCAAAAACATCCTCCAGTACATGAAAACAAGGCAGACTAGTGGGTCAGTGTGGCCCATTACAACTAGGAACATGTTTGATGTGGTGTGACTGTCAACAAGGCTGTCATCAAGAAGAACTTGGGATGTCTCACATGTGAGTATCATCTGAATTATTGTCATGATTTTACTAACATATCATTTAGGGTTATACTTGAAGGCTGAACAGGAGAGGCAGCACAGTTACCTGAAGGATGGTCCATACATTAGTGCAGATGAGGTTGTCACAAGTTTACACTGTGACTGTCCACTGGCTTGAGAGCTGTAAATTTGCTCTCATTCCCTTCCTGTAAGTTGAATATTCCTCACATTGCTAAGATTTTTTGCTGATCTGAATACTAGCCCTCTGTCTTATAAGCATGATATGAAATTGCTTGTCTTGGTGCTTGAGAAACTTAAAGAGGCATACTTGGTCAAGGGCTGTCTCAACCAGTTGCAACAAGAGGAGTTGGCACTTATTGAGCAAGCATATGACAACCACCATGAGTGTAAGTCCTAGTGCATCTCTTCTCTGGCAGTAATAGTGTGGGGGCCAGAACTAACAATATTATAATTATTGCAGTGTTGTGCATTTGCACAGACTGCTGGGCAGACTACATAGATGTCCAATGCAACATGTACAAACAAGACTGGTGTCATGTTCATTGTCCTTGGTGTTCTTATAGGTGGTGTAGACAGCACAGCTAAGTCACTTTATTTGTTCCATTTGCTTTGGTCACCATGCTAATCAGGTCCCAGTTAGTTTTAAACAGCACCTCATTGACTCCATGCAACAATTGGATCATTGTTTGCATTGCCATCCTGCTCACTAGTGGTGACTAGTCTGTGCCTTGAGGTTTGCTCATGGTTGATATTACACTCAAGCCATAATTCAGTTACAAGCATCATGGCTTCATCATGGTGCACTATTTTTCTGACAGGTCCATCCATCAGCAGCACATGCTCCACTCCCACATTCAAAAGGGCATTGAGGAACTCACAGATGACCTATTGCCCATTCCCCCCCATCATGCTGTGTCTGAGTGTTCTGACCCCTTCTGTGATGAATCTCAGTGGATGTTCAATGTCTGCACTTGCTGATCTAGACAAAGCTGATACTGGGGAAGGTAATCAATGGACTGCCAAGAGTGTCTCATCTGGGCAAAGCAAAAGCAGTGGCAATCTTGCAGAGGTTCATAATTATATTTAAGTTTGAATATTGTTCTCACTGACTACCTCACAGGCACTGAAGGCCATTCAATTGCAACTTGATGTAGAGAAATCCCAAAACCAAGAACTACTGGAGAAGAATACAGTCCTAGTGGCAAACAAAATGTGCCACTCTACAAAAGATGTTCCTGCCAGCATGGTTGCATATGATAGCGAAATCAAGATGCTTGGGAAGAAGTATGTTGTGATGATGGAAATGTTTCTGCCACAAATTCCACTAACCAATGTGATGTCTGAGCTGCCTATGTCCCCTACTCCAGTATTTGCAACAGCTGAGCACTATGCCAGTGCCATGGCAGAGGAGCATGGTCTTGTCACTGAGCTTGACTCTATTCTTCCAGAACATCTATGTAGAATCAGGAACATGCATTTCTTTCTTGACATTGTAAGTTTATGCTTGCCATTTTGTCTTACTGTGCTGATGAGATCCTAGTTCACACAGGCAATGCAAAATGGTTGGTCCAACATTCTCTACAAGCTACATGACAATTGCCATGAGATCTTTGGTCTGCCAAAGAACCACTTTTTGCCAAACTCATCCCATCTTGAAGTTGCTGAAGTCATGAAGATGCACATGTAGTCTAACAGTAAACTACACTAAGGTAAGTTCATTACTACTTTGGACTAGGAAATGTAAGCTAATTGCTATTCAGTGTGCAGGTTCAAATCCCACTGCAGGTAAAAAAGAATAAGTTAGTAGTTAATTAGGAAAGTATGTAGTCATGTAGTAATAATAGTAACCATAACATAAGATAATAGTACTACAAATAGTGATGAAGTCAAAAGATAAGATAAAATATAGTTGAGATTAGATAAGAGTGGTTATAATAATAATTTTTGGTTGCTTTAGTCTGAAGCTTATTGCAATCCTTGGTTCTTGTTGCAATCCATTACAATTCAATTATGGTAAGATAGGGTCTGGGTAATTTTCATGTTACAAGGTGATTGTAATAGTTATTATGAGGTCATTGCATCCTGGGGGTGATGGCACCATGTTTGTGCTGTCAGCCCCCCAACATTGCTGCAATTGGCATTGGTATTCACATTGCAATGACAATGGCAATGGCACTTGTAACTAACATTATGTAGAGAACTTCAATAATACAATCTTGTCTCAATTACAAGTTTAATTGCAGGCATTGCAATCACTTGCAGTGCATTGAAATTAATATACAAATTTTCTGACACATGGTCTAATGACCAATGGAGGTCTGTTGGAGTTGGGAGATGGGAAGTGGAGATGGGGTCAGAGGGCAGTGCAGAGATGATGTTGGCATGGAGCTGCTCAACATTGAAGATCATGGTGGCTCAGAGCACAGGGGCCAAGAGGTGGGTAGTATGGAGGGATGAAGTGAACTGTTCCTGGGTAAACACAGGGCAGAGGTTATGAGGGTTTACCTGCACATAGTCCTTATCCCCCTCTTTTGAGTAAACATCCCAGCAGTGGGCAAGTGCATCAGGCTTGGCTCCAAGGCAGCCAGGGTGGAAGCAGACAGCTAGATTGAACTGGGAGAGGTACTCTGACCAACAAGCCTGATGGCAGGTTAGGACCTTAGAGGTGGAGAAATACTCTGAGTTTTTATGGTCAGTCACCATGTCAGCAGGAGTGGTGGAGCCTTCCAAGTAATGTTGCCAGTGGTGGAAGGCCTCAAAAATCACCAACAACTCCCTATCATGAGTGTCATTGTTGAGCTCCAGAGCAGTGAGTATGCAGGAGTAAAAGGCAACCAGGTGGAGTTCACCATTGGAGCAGGTAATTGAGAGGATACCTGCAATGGCATATTCCAATGCATTGGTCTCAACTGTGACAGGGGCATCAGGCACCCAATGAGTAAGGATTGGAGCAGAGGTGAAGGTGGTCTTAAGGCAGAGGAAAGTGGAGCAGCACTCTTTGGAGAAGCTCCAAGGAGCACCCTTCTGAGTGAGGTGGGTGAGCAGAACAACTATGTTGGAGTAGTTACTAATGAACCAACAATAGAAATCCACAAACCCAAGAAAGGACTGGACCTTATCAGTGGACATGGTCAGACCAGATGGGGAGAGGACATAGCCAAGGTACTCAACAGAGTCTTGGTGGAACTCACATTTTTCCAGCTTAGCAAAGAGGCTATGCTGGTGGAGGTGGCAGAGGACCTCTTTTACATGTTGGTGGTGCAGCTCCTCATTGTGGGAGTAGATGAGGATGTCATCAAGGTAAACAACAATGCAGATATCAAGCATGTTGGCAAAGATGCTGTTAACAAACTGCTGGAAAGCCACTGGCACATTAGTAAGACCAAAGGGCATAACCAACCATTCATAGGAACCATAGCAAGTGTGAAAGGCAGTTTTCCATTCATCACCAGCACCAATTCAGACTAAGTGGTAGGCATGGCAGAGGTTGATTTTACTATAGATTTTAGTGCAGCTTGGAGAATTGAGCAAGTCAGACATGAGAGGAAGTGGGTAGTGGTCTTTCTTGGTGATTTTGTTGAGTCCTCAGTAATCCACACAGAGGCAGAGTGAGCCACCTTTCTTCTTAATGATGAGGATGGGAGCACCATGGGCAGAGGTTGACTGTTTAATGAAACTGTAGCTGAGGTGCTCATCTATGAAGGTGCAGAGCACCTCAAACTTGGGCAGAGAGAGGGAGCAGACAGTGCTCTTCAAGATCTATATTGAAATTGAAGCTGTGGTGTGGAGGGAGTTCAGTAGCCTTTGCTTAACTAAAGACATCAGCGAACTCATGGTAGTCAGAGGGTACTGCAGAGAGATCAGGAGGTGCAGAGGGCATCAAAGAGGCTTGGAGTTTCATATCTTCAGGGTGGAGGTGCAAGTGGAACTGTGCAGAGCCAGGAAGGGCACATGCAGACAAAGGCTGCAGCTCCAATGAGAGAGATATGCAGAGCAGTGTGTGGCAAGCCAGCCATTGGAGTAGGCAGTGGAGCTGATGTCAGAGGAGTGGACAGAGCAGAGGGTGTTGGTACTGAAGTGGAAGTTGTGACAGAAGGTGACAGAGGTGCCAAGGGTGTTGGCATTCTTTGTATTGATGGTCAGAACAAGATACTGCTCAGTACCCAGTCAATTGACAGATTGTAGCAGGTGAGCCAGTTGTGTCCCAAGACCAATGAACAGGTGGAATCCAATGGAGTTACATAACAGGTGTCATGACTGTATGTTCATTCTAAGTCCTCACTCACTCTGTGCCCTTTTCCACCAGTCATTCACTCACTCTGCACCAACTATGCCCACCTTCTGTTGTTTATGAACCATCTTTGCTCTGACTGCTGTCAGACTTGTGTTGCTCTCCTACCAGACTGCATGGACTGTTCTCTGAGGAGTCATGTGACTACCCTTTGGACTTCTCCTTGACAGTGCATAGTCAGGTACTCTGCAGCACACACACCACATGGTCCAGTGCCTGGACTGTTTCCTTTTTGGGGTGTTCTATGTTACCTGTTCATATGTCCTCTGTCTACCCTTCATTTGTCATCTAGGAAGTTTTACTTGAAATTTTATGAGTCCCTGTATGTTCTGATTCTGGTTACTGTACCTCTGTAGTAGTATAAAAGCATGTATTGTACTCTGCTGTTCTTCAGTATGAATATTGACTTAGTTCCTACTCCCTCTGTCTCTGTCTTCTGCCTGTCAGAGTTACCTCTGACATTCTGTCCATACTCTCCCTCTGAAATATGAGGGCTGACATCATGCAAGGGGGTAGCACATGAGCTAAACCCAACACCCTCACTCTGCTCTGCCTTTGTCTTGGTGGACTTCATTCCTGCCAACACTCGACCAGTCAGAGTTCTGCTCTCCTGTGTCAGACTTGCTTCTGAACCTCTCCCCAGACCTTGTCTAGCATCAGAGTTGGTCAGAGTAGGCCCAGACTTGACAACAGGAAACAGATGTGACATCACCAGAGGCAGAGTGGACAGAGAAATCTACTACTTGGGAAATGGCAGTATTACTAGTACCATCAAACAGTCAGAGAGGAATAGGCAGAGAGACATCTTTTGTTGGGATTTTATATTTTTTAACTAAAGTAGGGTTGACAAAGCAGTGTGAAGAGCAGGGAAAGTATCTATGGAGAAATCAGGAAGAGAAATGATCAGAAGAGAATGAGGGTTGGAAAGAGTGGATGTGTTGAGGTGGATTTCTGCATGGATGGGATCAACACATCCTCCAGGATGTACAGGCTCCCTGGAGGGGTGGATTAATTTTTTGGCTCTGACCTCTCCACAGGCAGAGCAGTTGAAGTGGCAGCCTTAGTGGCACAGGCCTTGGCAGCATGGGAAGTTTACTTTGGGCAATCCTTGGTGGAGTGGCCAGGTTCACCATAGAAGAGGCATAGCCCACCAGTAAGGCAGTGGAGCTGCTCAGCTGCTGTGAGCTTGCCATCTTTTCTAAGGAGATGGTTGATGTTGGACTTTGGCACTTTGGCCTTTTTAGAGTCAGACTTAGGGGCAGAGGATGATGCAGAGGGTTTCAGCTTGGAGTCAGAGGTGTGGAGTGGAGTTCTTTTGGCAGGAGGAGGCTTGGCAGGGTGGGAGACTTCTGACTTGCACTCCCAGTAGTGTGCATCTACTGTCTGGGCCAACTTGTGGAGTGCATGAAGAGTGGCAGGCTTGCTGACATGGGACACTTCATCCTTAATGTAGTCAGGGAGACCTGAGTAGAAGCAGTAGTGGAGTGCACCTTCACCATAGTCTTTTACCTGAGAAGCTCAGCAGTTGAACTCCACTAAGTACTTGGCAATATGCAAAGAGTCCTTCATGGTAAGGTTTTCCAGATGCTGGACAGCATTGGCAGCAGCATCATGAGGGCTGAAGTTGGTAGTGAGCTCATGGAGGAACTTGCAGTGGTCATCCATCCACAGTGTATGATTAAGGTAATCATCTGGATTGAGGAGATCTGGTTCAAACCAGGCCAATGCCATGCCCTTAAGGTAGGACTGGGCATATGTGACCTTGGCTCAGTCAGAGTGGAATGCCCAAGGGTGGTCCTGGAAATTGAGCTTGCATTGGACCAAGAACTCACAGAGTTTTTTAGGGTCAGACCCATCAAAGGTATCCAGCTCATGGAGTGGAGTCTCTGGAGTGCTGGTTGGAGCAGGCTAGGGCATGGATGGCCTGGGTCAGAGCAAGGACTGGGTCATCAAGGGGATCTGCAAGGTTGTTGGGATCATCCTTGTCATCAGGCCCATCACCAGGATAGTAGTCAGGATTGTCAGGGTCATCATCAGGGTCACCTGGGCCATCTCTGCCAGGGTGAATGATGACAGGAGGTGGCAGAGAGCAGAGGGTGGACTGCTGATGGATGGAGGGTGCAGCATGTGAGGTGCTGTCTGGAGCAGGGTTGGAGTTGGAGTGCCCCCTGGAGGAGAAGCTCTGGAAGGGCTCAACAACTGAAGGGAGACATTGGGGGTTTGCCAAGGCTGTAGCAAGGGCCTCAGTAGCATCCTATTGTCAGAGATGTGTCATGGGAGGCATAGTGGATGTGGTAGGGGAAGTGAGAGAGCTTGTACAAGTGAGAGTATGAATATACTGTCAAGGTTGCACAACACCCCTGACTTCCTCTTAGGGTGGAGTAGGAGTGGGTTGG